CAGGTCGACTGATAACGAACATAAGAAACATAACTTGTATATAATGCTGAAATTTTGCAAAACTCCTGACCGCAGGTGTATGCGGTGGGCAACGAACGCGCTATTGTTCTTGCCGGGGTGTAGCGCACTTCGCCACCACACCATCCGGGTCCTTCGTTTCGCCTGTTTCTCAGCTGGTCCTATCGTCATAGTAGTAGTGATTTCACTGCAATAATTTTTTTGGTGAACGGCTTTTCTAAACACTTTTTTACACTTAGTGATGTAATAACTTTGCACGTTTTATTCTCGATAATGTAACAGCTTAACCCTTTTCATCTCATGTTTTTTTCACATTTGCATAATTGAAAACTGGGGGTGCATTTTTAGAAAATGCTCAAAATAGTTGAAGAATCTTCACCGTAGTCTAATACGGTGGTGAATCTTCCTATGTGAAGTACTTCTTCCTTGCTTAGCCTTAATCGAAAATCGTCTCTGATGCTTCTGATGTTTCTTCGGTTCACATACCGACATACGCCCATTTTTAGGTTATATACGTGATATCGGATGACAGCGTAATAAAAGTAATAAACGCTGATCTCTTTTCTGACGTCACTCATAAACAGCAAGAGAATCGAACATAAGTGTATTGAATTCTGGAATGATTCAACGACAATCGCGCATCATCTAATCCTCCGGCAAACATTCCACTCCCCCTATTTCAGCACGACGTGCTGATGCCGAGTTCTTCATCTGAGTAATGCGGTCTAACATCTTCGTCGTTCTTATTCCGATAACTCTCGTACCTTCATCGAGTAGGTGGCGATTTTCGTTACTATGGTAGTTTCTTCCTCGTTCATCTGAGAGGAAATACGGTAACCATCTCCATTTCTGCGTATTTTTCAAAAGTTTTTCGTCATTGAGATCATTATATCCAATTTGTTCATTACAAGCAAAGTCATCAACAAAGGTGACATAAGGAGTGGATAGTATTAAAAATTTTGACGATGATTAGGTTTTCTACTAGTCTGAATCGTAAAGTGGCTGGTCGGTCCCCGCCCCGAGCGTTAAAGGTCTCTCGTCTTTCCGGGGTCGAGAAATTGGTAAAAGACTTCTGAGACAAGCTCACTACCTTAAATCAGGACACCTTAGGACGGGTGTCTAAGGATTCTAGAAAGAAATAAACTCGAACAAAATTCAACGAAATTCGTAACGAAGTCGGGAAAATCCTCAGGCAACAGCCCAACCCATGTGTAAAAATCCGTCTGCATTTATATGCAGTTCGAAGACCTTCATGGATGCTGGATGCGAAGAAGGCATTAGGGTAGAAGAAGTGTTGAGATTCACATTGTGATTTATGTGATGTCGGGTGGTAGCGTAATAATAATAACTAATAATAATAACAAAAATGAGAAAAAAATAATAATATTAATAATAAATAACAATGATAATAACAAATAGCAATGATAATACAGTGGGTGCTGCTCGCTCTAGGGACTCGTTGAACATCATACCTTTCTTCTAGGGCTTTCGTGAAAAACTCTGGCCATGGATGGATTCGGTGGTCTTTCTGCGGTACGCTTGACATCCCGAGGAATCCAATCACTAACGGTCCATCGGTAGTCGTTCATACGCATGTCCGGCACACCTTATCCTCGACTGTTCGGCATACGGAACGGTACCTTAGATTTTTGATCGTTGATAGGATCTTCGGACCCTTTTCTTCATTTGTTCACACGCAGCACTCCTGGTGTCATCCTTTCTACTGCGATTTCAATTACGCTTAGTGATCTTTTATTCTGCCTACATGGCTATCAGGTTTCTGACGCTTAAGTTAAGGCAGGAAGAATCGTGGAGTCGAAAAGATTGGCACGTAGACGAGTGTTTTTCGTTCTCCTTATTACATTAATCATGTTGCTTTCCCGAAATAGATAGACATAACTGGAGCATTTGGAGACATTCGTTCCGTTGATACGAAACCAATCCGTTCCTCATGAACCTCGTTTTTGTGGGATTCAGTCGAAGACCAATCTTTCCATAGGTATTATTAAAGTCGACAATCATTCGTTCCGCCTGGCAAATGTTTGGTGTTATAAGGACGATGTCATCAACAAGACGGAGATGGTGTAATTGCCGACCGTCCATTTTCACTGCGATATTGTCACACTCCAGTATTCGCATGACGTTCTCGAGGGTGACGCTAAGTAATTTTGGCGGGGTGCTATCGTTTTGACTAACCGTTTTTTCAATTCGATGTTAATATCTTCAGATAAAGGTAATATCTTGGTTGTGAGGGTTTTATATAGGTTACCAAAAACCTTTATATACTGAGTAGGGACTCCCTGACTGTCCGGGGCTTCCATGACTGCTTCTATCCCAGCTAAGTCAAAAGCTCTCTTTAAATCAATTAAAGTGAGCGAGAGTGGTCTCTAATAGCCTCACGATACTTTACTGAGTTTTGTTATCATGTGGATGTTGTGCATCATACTGAATCCATCTCGAAACCCTGCTTCCTCACATGGTTATTCTTCGTCCAGTGTTCGCTGAATTCTGGTTAGGATTACTCAAGTGGAAAGTTTGTAGACGAGAGACCTCAAGTACATTGGGGAGTAGCCACCAATATCGTTGACGTCTTCCTTTTTGAACAATAGTACGGTCCTGATCATCTTTCGCGCAGTAGCAACCTTGCATTCAGACAGGTAAGGTATGAAGAGCCGAGCCAGTGTGTTTACGACGACTGGCGGAAGGTTCATCAGGTGTTCTGATCTTACCCTGTCCGGATCTGGAGCTGTTCGATTTTTCACCGACGAGATACCATGTCGGATTTCGGAAGAGAAACCGGTGGTACAACACATCCATCTTCGTTTATTTCATATGACGGAATGTAGACGTGGCTATCGAAGAGATCCGAGTAGTATTCGTGAATGATTTTTTCCACTACCTTTCTGGACGCTGTAACTGTTCCGTCTGGGCGTCGGAGTGCAATCATTTTGGTCTTGTAATTGGCGAAGCTTCAGTGGATTTTGTTAATGCTTTTTCCAGCCTCTGCAGCTTCGACCATTACTGCTACTCTTCTTTTTTTAAGACCTTCTTTTATCGCCTTTCTGCATCTTGTCGTAAGTTCGGATATGTGTGAACGGTTACCTGTAGCGAGTGCGATTCCACGCTGGCGCATCTGCTGCAGTGTTTCTGGAGGCAGATACCTCTTGGTGACATTCGAACTCTTAGCTTTCATGGCGATAACGTGGAGATGTTGAATGAGTCGATCGTATTCCTCGTTGACGTTATCAGGAACGGCGTCTTTCCAACAACTGATTAATGAACTGAATAAATCCTAGTCTGCTGAGGTGTTGGGACCTCATTTTTTGGATTTAGCTGCTCATTTTTCTCTCCGCAAGAAATGAAATCATACACAAAGGAAGCATGGTCTGATCCGTGAAGATTTTTGGCACAAAAACACATCCGTTGGGCAATACCTTTTATTTACTATGATAAGGTCTATTCTCCATTGGAAGAACCTCATGTCCAGCTTTGATAGTGAGGCCTCTGGAATTTCAACTTACGGTGAACGGTCTTAGTCGTCATGATAAACGCAAACAGCCCCTCACCTTGCTCGCTCATTCCAGTCTAAACTGTGGGTTCCGAGGGGATCTTCAGACGTTCTTCTGGATCCAGTTTCTGCCTTTCAATCTAAAGTGGTCACCTTGAAGTATGTATGGTCTCTATGTAGGACTTTTTCAAGTCCGTATAGAACGCTTTGACTTAGTCTTCGCTATAGCTTCACGTTGGTGCGTAAACGATGAAGGTTGTCATAGCCAATATTGCTCCACATCTTTTTAATTCATGCGATTTGCGTTAGTTGCTCGAATGAATCGATGTTCAAACTCGGTTTGACTAAAACGCAGAAGTAGTGGATTCCTCTATTGTGGCATATTCTGAGGAACTGTTCTTCAACAATACCATAGACGACGTTGAATAGATGGCGTCTTCTCATCTGAGCTAATACGATGACGTCGCATCTTATCTTTGTTGCTTGCATTATCAAGTCTTACATCGAGAACTCAAATGAAAGTGTGCGCATTGTAGTTATAGATTGTCACCCTAACTCTTTAGGATTTATGCTGCCTAGAATCGCCCTGAGATTTTACCAGCCCCTTCGCACTCGTTCTACTCAACGCTGCCGAATCAGGGGCTCTTTCGGAGTCAGGGGAATGAGGCTCCTTTATTTTACTGTACTTAGCTTTTTGATACCCACGCATAGCTTGCTTAACTGTGAACTTGGGTGCTGACTATACTCACGGCTGATTTTCCGGTCTCTCCCATATCAGACAGAGAGATTATTTATTATAAGCTGCTCTTACCCTCCTCTTATATACTTCCCTGAAGGTATGTGCAAAATCGACGCAGCAAAAATAGGCAATCTATCTCCTGGATTTATCTGCGTCTCAGGAAAACAAATATCACTTTAGGTCGGCGATAAACCCCCTATACGCCACCTGAGGACTCGGCACGTTATATCGCGAATGGGCAGCATGAGATCACTCTACGAGGAAGATCCGTGGAGTAATAATAATATTAATAATAATAACAATAACAATAGCAATAGTAATACTAGTAGTAACAAAAACGGTGGTAACAATAATAGTAGTGATAACGACAACTTTTAAGGAGGCGGAGCGGATAGCACAGTGTTAGTAATGTCCGTCATCACTAGCATGGTTTTAGTTCGATTTCGCTCAGGGCCAACCAAGTCTCTTAGCACTCCAGGGTCGGAAAATCGTTAATGGAGTTGTCTGGGAAGAAATCGCTCTCTGCAATCCAATTGTGAACGCTCCAGCCCAACTATCGCAGGACTCCAGGGAGAATCGACTCGACCAGCATTTTACGATAATCAAGATGCAATGAAAGTTCTCAAGCAGGAGCCGAAGCTACAAGTAAAAAGCTGGAGGACCTTCGTTGATGATGGACGCGAGAGAACGAATCGAATGGGAGAAGTGCTGGGATCCGCACAACAAGTGTGAAGACGGGTAATTTAAAATAAAAAAAATAAATGACAGCTTATTTGCAGTATTTTCTAAAGTTCATTGGAAATAATAAAACGACCTCAAGTATTCATAGTGACATTTGAGAATAGTCGTGTTGGCACGATTCTTCTTAAAAAATGGAGCTGAACAATTAGAGCGGTTGTGCAGCGTTCTGAAGACCTAACTTGGGTTGTTTAAGTCCGGATTTGAGTTACCTCTTCTGAATGTGTGTTATTCAGAAGCAATCAAATGCCACAGTTGCTTCAACTATAACGGACAAGGGTGTATTTGGAACACGGACTGCTATGGAGAATTTTGTTTGTTTGGTATGCGTTGCTTCTTCTTTTTTCCTTTTTTTCTACAAAACTTCCGAAAAGTAATTTTTGCTCAAAAACGTTATTATTTGGTTTTGAAAGCTACTTTATTTTAAGATAATCTTTAACTTAATCCACAGATTTCCCAAGCAATGGAAAGCAGCCTTGTGCGCCATGCGTCTTGGTGTCTAATATGGAGGACACAAATGATTTCTTCACTTCTCCAATTTGAAAAGGATTCTGATGCGGTAGTGTTGACCAAAACAACTATGTACAGACTGCAAAAGTCTAGGACTCATTTAAAAAAAAGGAAAAAGCTGCCCGAGCTGATCATTCCGTGAAGGAGGAACCACGCCTACGAATTTATTTAGCATCGTTCGAGGTGAGATGCATATCTGACCTGTACAGTGATTTTCCGGTGGACCAACAATGTGTCACTCCAGTGCTGCTATCTTTCAAAACATTTCTATACCAATCTGTCGACTTCAGGAGCGCGAAAGCATGCCGAGTCTGGAGCGTAAAGTCGAATGTGTTTATTACAGGTCACCTCAAGCCACTTCGCTACAAACGCCTCTACAGTCATTCTAGACTTCTTAAAAGTGGAAGGACTAAAATGACGATCTCTATTTATGACCACCACACATAGATATGTAAAGCTTCGTTGGAGATTTGCTACTACTGGCTTGGAAGATTAGGTTCCACGCCAACAGACTAGCGTTGTGCCCTTTCAAAGCGATGTTGGAGAAGAATTGTGCCTCGGAACACACGAAAATTGAGGAGCCAGCCCTTTTGGCATGGATGTCGGCTTTTTTGGAGAACTATTATCAAACATGGTGTTAAATTATTCTTTATTCTTGTATAGCCGACATTTCGGCAGTTTTACCTTCTTCAGATCCTGGAAGTGTATATTGAAATGCAGTTTACTACGGCATACACTTTGATAACACAGACAGAAAGGACAAAATCTAAATGACAACCACACGATCAACAGCTTCTCGAAAAACTCACCGCTTCTTACGTGCCTTCTACTGAGCAAGAGCAGCCTCTTAGAGTCGCATATGTTTGATGTGTCCACCACACCACATTAAAAGTCCATGCCAAGATACGGGGAAAATTCCAGGGTTCTTGGTATTTATCTAAAAACCCTCAAGGAAAAAAAAGAGAAAAAAGCGGAAGCCTGATACCAATGTAAATTGGAAACTGTTTCGATCATTGACCAGTTTTTGAGAAAACGCTATTCGAAAACATGGATGAAGGATGCGAACGGTCTATTTGACATCTTCACGTTAGCGCTGAAAAGCCGAGTGTGGGAAAATCACGACGAGACGTCAGTCTCGGGGATGATTGGAGCTGATATCTAACGTGGTTTCACAAACCTATGTCTGGACTTTTAAACATATCCAGGAAATGAAGCCAGAAGGATGCTCAGATACGAGCAAAACTCGGAACGTCAGATCGTGCTCGAACCTGCGACTCTGTTTACCACGCTACCACGTGCTATCTGCTGCACTAACCGAGGCCTTTGCCTCTCACTCTAAGCCACATTTTCACAGTATCGGTGCTATCAACAATCACCTGCCAGTGATAATGAGAGTCCAAACATAAATATAATGATAGTTCATTAGCTATTTAGGAACTTCACGAAAAGTGTCTCGCTACGGTACTATCAAGATGAGAGAGAAAACCTTGATAAGGAGATACTTACCTATTTACTTGGACTGTCCGTCTCCACGAGCTGTGGGGAACCCAGCACAAATGCCATTCGTTCCTTTCTCTCGCAGTCGTAGTCCGTGGTGGTGGTCTTGCTCGAGCATGGTGGCACGTGTGAGTCTTATACCGTGATCTGTAAAACAACTGTAGCTGCGGGTACAGCTGATTAACTTTATTTACGAACACGCCCGCACAACGTGTAGGTGGTCGTCCTGGAGTACGTTTGCATTCTCTTAGAGTCCACTCTACTGTTTTTTTCGTCTATCTGTCGTCTATTCTTCTCATTATGTGACCGGCCCATCTGTGTTTCGCTGTCGATGTAAATTCTCCAGGATCACGAAGATGTGACAGATTTTCGAAGGTCAGAGCCATTCATCGTTATCACTTATAGAAGATCGCCAACGTAGTAGAATGTCCGTGAGCCTGAAAAAACATGCGGTGGTAGAAATATTGTGTTATTTAATAAGATTAGCACTGCTTCGCTCTTACTTACTTACTCGGATGCTCAGACGAACCGCCTTCACGAGATGTGCGGACCCCAGCACACATGCCATTCGTTCCTTTCTCTCCCCATCGTAGTCCATGGTGGTGGTCTTATTCGAACATGGTAGCGCTTCCGACTCTCATATCCTGATCTCTAAAACAACTGCAGCTGTGGATACAGCCGAATAACTTTGTTTACGAACACGTCCGCCCAACGTGTAGGTGATCGTCTAAGGGAAAGTTTGCGTTCTCTTGGAGTCCATTCTTTCTTCTTTTCGTCCATCTGTCGTCCAGTCCGATCTTTCCCCACTTTGTTGAGCTCGTTGGTCATCGTCTCTGCTTCGCTAGTACTTCTTAATAAGATGACAATGTCGTCGGCAAAACGAAGGTTTGATAGGAATTTTCCATCAATACGTATGCCTTTCTCATCACAATCGAGTGGCTTCATTATAGACTGCAGTGCAGCACTGAACAGCTTTGGCGATATTGTATCGCCCCGTCGAACCCCTTTTTTCTACGGGTATAGTAAGAGGTCGATGGAAAAGCTGTATTTTCATAGTGAAGTTCCGATAGCAGTCGCACAGAGTCCTTATGTAGGACGGGTCCACTCCTTGGTCGACGAGCGCCTATAGGATTGCACTCGTTTCGACACTGTCAAATGCTTTCTCATAGTCGACAAAGGTTAAGACTTGAGACAAGTGGTATTTTTGACAAAATTCGATGACTCTGGACACAGTTTGGATGTGGTCCATGCAGCAAAATCCTTTTCGAAATCCTGATTGCTCGACTGGTTGCGCGTCACCCAAGGTCCTTGATTTGCGCGAAAGGACAATCTTCGTGAAGAGCTTGTAGAGTACACTTAACAAGCATGTGGGGCGATAGTTACGAAGATCCTTTCGGTCTCCTTTCTTAGGCCAGATGACCGTACGCGACATTCTCCAATGGTTTGGATTTTTTTTCTTCTAAAGGTAGGTTGTCATATGGTTTGCGAGAAGTGCATGTAAATTGTGACTTCCAACTCTAAAGACTTCCACAACGTTGCTGAGATATTTGCAAAACTCTGGACCGCAGGTGTCTATGGTGGGGAACGAACGCGCTATTATCCTTTCCGGGGAGTAATGCGTTCACCACCACACCATGCGGGTCCTTTGTTTCGCACGTCTCTCAGCTATCTCTATCGATCTTTTTGCCACAGCAATCACCCGTCTTCAGAGTCCAAAGACTTCAGCAATAATATCATCGGGTCCTGCTGTGCCTCTTTTCATGCTTCCTGCCACAACTCGAACTTTCGACGGAAGAATTTCAGGTGGTGTTTTCCTCCAGCGGGGTTTATAAGGCCGGGGCGGGATTGTGGGACGGGAAAGGTTGCTGTAGAACGTTTCCGTCATTAACTCCATAGAATGAAAGTTTTGGTGATCCCATCTTGGTTTATCAAGGCTAACACTGGAATCTTGAAATCACACAAATCCCGACTATGTTTTTCGAGAATGCTTCTTTCTTGTACTGGTTCCAGTAGTTTCTTCTGCCTGTGGCGATACAAACCTTCCCGCAAAGCTCTTGTGCAGCTAGCATTTACCACTACCCGTGTTAAACACTTAGCAGAAGGATTAAGTTTTTAGATTTCTTTGTTGAAGCAATTCCTTAATGGTAATGGAGATGCAATCTGATCTTCCTTCTCGAGAGGCTGAGGGGAATTCCGCACAACTTTTCAGCCTTTCGACAAACAGCTCGTAGTTTTCGGTCGAGTCCTCTTTAATCTGCCAGTCACGTTTGGACAGGACTTCGTTTAGAATTTTCTCGTTGTATACAGCTAGACTTTTTTCCCGTGGTCGATGAAGATAGTTCATTTCCAGCTCGCGGCTGAATCGAGTCTTCGCGCGAAGAAGGTGGTGGTCGGAAACAGTACAGAATGACGGGACTACCGATGTAACAAGTAGACACCATCTTCTGTTTCTCAGGATATGGTCGATCTCCGCACAAGTCAAGCTGTTGGAAGACTCCTATGTCCAGCGGCGGCTTTCTTTCTTGTGGAAGAACGAGTTTCCATGGAAGAGACGTGCTGTTGACAGGAGTCTTGCGAGACAGTTCCCATTCTCATTTCTTTCTCCTAATCCAAAATTTCCGATCCTGTATTCGCTCCCGTTGGCCTTTCCTATTCTGGAGTTAAAGTCTCCGTCAACAAATTTATGATATGCTTTATCATTGCGGATGACTTCCTCCAACTGATAGTAGAACGCACTTAAATCGTACTTATCAGCTGCGTCGGTCGGTGAGTAGCAGTTGATGGTAGTGATGTTCTTATGATGCGACAGTTGAAGACTGAGGACGGCTATACGAGGGGAAGGATCACGTATGAGTCGACGAGATGGACAATGGAGGGTAGATGACAAAGCCTACGCCACCGAAATTTCGTGACGGGACCTTTTCTCCACGGATCACAAGAATCCCGTTGCTTAATAACTCGAAAGACCGACTTTCTATGAACCTCGGCATAAATAGTTGATATATTTATTTATGAGATCTTATAAACTGATCTTCTTAAGCTGACGCGAGGTTGGTACAGATCTTCGTTGTCGTTGTCGTTGTCGTTGTTTTTGATGTTATTGATCGATGGCTGACGTTTCGGCGACTTCGCCTTCCTCAGAGCCTGGACGTACTTTATGTTAGAATACTTTTTATTATTCGGTGGAAAAGAAGGTTAAGGTATTAATGAAGATCAAACTTTCAAATAGACGCCATATTGAACAGAAAGGCCACTCACCGTGATGTTACGTGCGGGACTGGCCCACACGTAGTTCACGTGGAGTCGCGAGCAAGACACGCCCCGGGGTCAAAATATCATTTTGAAATAGGGCGCCAGGTCACGTGTGATAGTGAGGCATTCGTCTTTCCGGTTCATCTTTGGATTTTTGAAATTTATCCAAGACGCCTCAAGAGTTTTGCGCGTTGATGTTTTTGATTCCTGCGCTAGGATCCGCACATTCACTTCAAAATCATCGCCGTTGTGCTTTTGTGCCCTATGCGTACCTAGAGGGGTGTTTAAACGGATTTTAGCTTTCCCATCTAGGAAGAACAACCGGAAAGACGAATGCCTCACTATCACACGTGACCTGGCGCCCTATTTCAAAATGATATTTTGACCCCGGGGCGTGTCTTGCTCGCGACTCCACGTGAACTACGTGTGGGCCAGTCCCGCACGTAACATCACGGTGAGTGGCCTTTCTGTTCAATATGGCGTCTATTTGAAAGTTTGATCTTCATTAATACCTTAACCTTCTTTTCCACCGAATAATAAAAAGTATTCTAACATAAAGTACGTCCAGGCTCTGAGGAAGGCGAAGTCGCCGAAACGTCAGCCACCGATCAATAACATCAAAAACAACGACAACGACAACGACAACGAAGATCTGTACCAACCTCGCGTCAGCTTAAGAAGATCAGTTTATAAGATCTCATAAATAAATAAATCCCGTTGCTTAGTTGGCGCTTGTCGGTCTTCTAGATTTTTGTTTCTTGTAGTGCGATCACATAAAATTTGATGCGATCTGCGGCTACAAGAAGGGCGTGAAGATCGGCATCTGTGGAGAGTGTTCTGGCATTATTCGTGCATAGTAAGAAACTATCTTTACGACGTGTCGTGCGTGTGCTGGTCAGTTCCGGTTCCACTGATGTGCTGCGAAACCCGAGATTTTCTGGACTGTCACCTGACGTCATAGGTGGAATCACCCAGTGTGCGGATTACTGAGGCTGGCCTATTGCTGGTCGTGCAACTTGGTCCTTCCTGGAGTTCTGACGTAACCTTGCAAGAGTGTATTCAAGTCTTCACGACGATGTGGATCAGAGGGAGGTGTGTTTTTCTTGCGATATTAGGTAACAAGCAAGGAGATACTATCGCGTTAAAATTATTCAGAACCGTTCCCGAAAAAATCAGGTGGAAACCGGAATGGAGTAGCATAGTAGTGCAAACTAGTGTTTTGCTACTACACTATCTTTGCGTTGCAAGTGATTTCGTTACTATACCATGGATAATTAGGCGGTCGAGCGAATGCTGGCCGATTTTGACAACGCCTATGGGAGGATTCGATGAATTTCAAGAAGAGGGCTGTTGCGAGGAATTTTTAATCCCAAATTTTTTCCTACTGCTTTCCCTCATTGCCACATAAAGGAATGGATATATTTGAAAGTTACGGCTATTTGGATGTAGAGCAATAAGTCAACATGGTGACCGATTTCACTTGAGACTGCACTGCTAAGCGAAATGCTTGTAGAGCATTTAGGAAAACAAAGGCTTAAGTATCGAAAACAAAAACCTCCAATTTCGTGCGTACGTTTTCGACACCACGTTTCTACCTGTCTTAGCTAACGCATGGGAAACTTAGTAGCTACGTAAGCACGATGAATCACACCGCATCATTGAAGGTCCAATAGATAGAACAGTGCTGATGCGAGTATTCTATACCACGCAAGTGAGAGTGGGAATATGAGGCTTTCTTTATCAAGAAGATCAAAAACGCCGCTATACACCCAAAATCAGGTGGCCCAGACACGTGATGTGTCCAAACAGTAATCGATAGGCTACAGCCGCTAAGCTGAATTATAGCGGATTTTAAAAGCATTTGGGGAGTAATTCCGACTCGATTAGGATTTTTCACGCAAAAAGTGAAGAATGTTGTGCTCGGTACTCTACAGCAAGTAGGACCCTAGTGGGTTACTCTCGCCTAACACAAGGGCAAATTGGGAGCTTCCTATTACCAACGTGAATTACTCGATGGAAGGGCGGCTGAAGGAGGTGATGCTTATCATTTTATCACTCCAGTCTCCAAAAGGTCGGAAAGAAGTGTTTTCATCATAGACCTTTCAAGCCTTAGCTAACAAACGAAATAAACAATGAAAATTTAACCACAAGATTGCTGAGATATCTGCAAAACTCCGGACCGCAGGTGTCTGCAGTGGGGAACGAATGCGCTGTTGTCCTTTCCGGAGAGCAACGCGTTCACCACCACACCATGCGGGTCCTTCGTTTCGCCTGTCTCTCAGCTGGTTGTATCGATCAGTGCTGTCAGTAGTCACTCGTCAACGGGATTGATCTAGGGAGCCCACATCGGCATTGAACCCAGGTAAGCTGGGGCTGTAGTTGAATTCACAGTATTTTACTTTTATTTTCTATCCTCTACAATTTTAATGGCAAGGTATTAAGTGAAATACAACCACAAGATTGCTGAGATCTTTGCAAAACTCCGGGCCGCAGGTGTCTGCGGTGGGGAACGAACGCGCTATTGTCCTTTCCGGGGTGTGTAATGCGTTGGTCACCTCGCCATGCAAGTCCTTCGTTTCACATATCGATACTGATCGATAGAACTAGCTGAGAGACAGGCGAAACGAAGGACCCACATGGTGTGGTGGTGAACGCGTTACTCCCCGGAAAGGAGAACAACGCGTTCGTTCCCTACAGCAGACGCCTGTGGTCCGGAGTTTTGCAAATACCTCAGCAATCTTGTGGTTGTATTTCGCTTAATACCCTGCCATCAAAATTATAGAAGGCAGAAAATAAAAAGTAAAAAAAACACCAGTGAAAATGTAGTTAAGCAATGGTATTTGGTATAGCAATGGTATAGCCATTTGAAAACCTTTGCTCTTTTCCCATCGGTAGAAGGGGAGGCGCGGCAGCACTCAAACAACAGAAGGATAAAGACGTTTGACGAAATACCTCATGGAAATATGTTCTTCGCAAAAGGAGATATTTCAGTAGACCTCACAGAAGTTAATGAGCGAAAGCTAAGATTGAGTAACCACAAAGTTTTGTGTTATGAACAACGCTTCGAGCCTCGGCTAGACTTCGAACCAGCGATAAGCCTTTCTGGGGCTCATGTGCTACCAACTGAGTTTTGCTTATATCTCATTATCCTTCTGGTTGTATGACATATTGTATTCTACCATGAAAAAAAGTAGTAAATAAAAGTTGAAGCATTAAGATCGGATAATTTACAGAACAGGTCATCAGGCCGAATGGAATTGTTTCTATCAGGAAGGCTTGCACAAATACTGGTCAGTACCAGTTCGACGACGGTACAACGATGACGAATTTGAACCAATGCGTATCCAGGTAACCAAGTCGCTATCGGCTTTATTGAAGCCCCTCACATCTAGAGTCTTTCATTTCACTGCTTAAGTCTTTTCGGATTATCTCGTTTCAGACGAAAATTGATTTTCTGTGCAGGATTTCACCAGTCGGGCAGTACTACGTGCTGTTGTGCACTTCCAGTAATGATTGCAATAGTAACTGTGTGACGACAACTCCAACAACACCTCCACCACTTCCTGGAAGCGGTCAGTTTTAAATATTTTTTTAAAAGGCTAAGAAAACCTTCATCAAGTTTATTATACCGGATTTTGGGATTATTTCAAGTTTCTATGTGCCACAAAGATTATAGGCCCTCACGTGAAGCACTTAAACCTACTTACCTTATCTGATTTACTTACCAGCTTAGTTGGAGTTAGGGACTTGTAAAGTACACCTAGTTCTGGGCAATATGGCTATGGGTACTATAGAGTACAATATACATACAGAGACTACTAAATAATAAATAATAGAAGTAAAAAAATGAAAAACCACCTCTCATCAAACACACGTGTAGCGCAATGGTCGTAGGCGCCATGCAACACACCTGGGGTCGATTCCCGCTTCCCCGGCCCACCAAGTTTTCCATTACACCAGGGTCGCCAAATTCGTAAAGCTTGTCTGGGAAAATAGCATCACTGGCTCGATACGTCGGTAGGCTACCGCGAGTCGTTCTAAAAGCCAGATATGCATTTGATCACCTCCAAATGATACTTAATGAAGTCGAATGCATGGTGCAACTCTCAGGGATTGATCAATACCAAGAGCTTTATCCTTTTAACTTCAATCAAACACGCAACGGTACCACAAAGCTCATCCATTTTTCGAAATCGTCAGTGGTTTGATAGAATAAAGTGTTACAAGGTCCTTTGGGCAAATTGGTTATTAAATCTAGGTTGATTAGGATACTGGGGAATTAATTCACACACTGAATACTACCGCAAGGCTGTAAAATTCCAAAGCCCTAGAGCTCTAAAGCCCTCGGTAATCTCTGGGGGATGCGCCATGCTTTCGGCTTCATTAAGCATCGTTTGAAGGAGACTGAATACATATTTGGCCTTTACAATGAGTCGAGGTGGCCTACCGATGTATCGAGTCAGTGTTGCTATCCTCCCAGACAAATCTGGTCCCAATTTGCTGACCTCGTAGGGATGGAAGATTTGGTGGGCCATGGGCGCGGGTATGGATTCCACATGTGCGTTGTAGGGTGCCTCCGACCGCTGCACCACATGTACCTAACCGCAAGACTATAAGATTAAAAGTAGATAAGATTAAGAAAGGCAGACATATTTCACTGAAATCACAAAATCTATTTCAGTATTGTGCTACAGCTGCGTTTCCTATGACGGCTTTGATTGTCACTCGAGTGTCTGCCGAGGAAAATTCTGTATTTACGGTGAGCGGTGCTTGTGTAGATCGGCTTTCATCACAGCCCTAGAGGCGAAGGGCACTACGACCATGTGCTAGTTCTGTGCCCATTTTACTAAGCATTTTACTAAGCTGTTATTAAAGGGTCAAATAAAAAAGTAAACTTGCACATATGTCTTTTATCCTTTTATATGTATTTATACATACCGTATTCTATTTTATACGACCCATCGTTCACATTTACTGGGTGGACTCCAGCACTTCTCGCCACTCAGTTTGTTTCCTCGAAACGTAAACCCAAATGGTTTTCGGACTTTTCGCGTGTGAATCAGCTGCTCTTTGAAGATTTTCCTTTCGTCCTTTCGCTGTGAACGTCGTTAAGTGCTAGTCGTTTCTATTCTTCCTGGAATCCTCAGTTACATTCGGCCATTGGGTTTCGATTTAAATTGCGAAGCCGCGAGATTTTTTCGAAGTGGTCTGTAACCAATTTCCCGATTGCGAAAGATTAGAGGCTTAGTTAGCCTGGTGCGGAGTCGAACCAGCACCGCATTCGTGATGATGGCATCACTACCGCTGCGCTATCGGGTTTCTAATTGAACGTTATCAAGTGTTTGCAGCAAGCAGACTCCTACCTTTGTGGGCCTGAAGAAGCTTCTCCCAGAAAATCTTACAATTTACCAACACGAGAATGTTGGGAAGCTTATTAGGTATGATGCGGAGTAATTGTAACCCTAACTCACTGTTGCATAACATCTGGATTCGGTGCGATTTTGGCGAACAAAATATTGTAAGATTACAGAACGACGGATTTCTGGTAATCAACTGATGTTGAGGAAAGGTTGCACGGACAAGCCTATGGTGGTACTCGATGACGGTACAATTGTTGAGGAAGTTGGAGTGTGCGAAATCAGGTGGGTTGTTGGCTTTGCAGACGCAACGTGGCTGTCGTGCAGGGAGAGTGGTCGTTCTTCTAGTCAACCTCAATCACTTCGCTTCATTACCATAAATGATGTGAATCAGCGAAAAACCATCCAAACAACCGGATCAAAACTTTTTTGGTGTTATCTTCCTTTCCTTATCCATTCCTTTTTTTTCCTTCGCTGCTTGTTTCAAAAACGAAATTATAGGAACACACTCACTTCGCGATATTTCGTAAAAATATGTGATAATGAAGATTACTGCAACAGCTACTGCAATCCTACGATGACCACTACTCCACGAAGGCGTTAGTGAACTTTATCTCAAAATTCCGAGCAGATTCTGAATCGCAGAGACAATTTTGGGAGTGCGCTATTGCAAAATAAGCCAAAGAAAAGTAGAATTTGTAGAAAAATGCTTGGTGGTTTAGTTCTATATGACTTAAATCCAAAGTTTCAGAGCCTTCTGTCACCTGTTATGAATGCGAATCTTATGGTTTTGACTGCTTTACTGGACGATGTGCTGGACAGTACTGTCTTTACGGTGAGTTGTACTGTTCGTCACCGTGATTTAATACCGTCACGTGAAATCCGATGACAACCACTGCGTAGCAAAGATGTGGACGAATAGAGACGAAGTTTGAGGCTTCACAATCAATTTGGTGCACCTGGCCTAATTTAACCTCGGTAGTAAAATAATCAACATGTTTTTAAATAGTTGAGCTTACGAGAGGTTGATAAAAATAATAATTTCGGCTAACGTTTCGACGCCTTCGTCTTCGTTAGAGGACACACTGTACCTCGTGTGAGCTCAACAGTTTAAAAACAGATTCGTGAGTGTTTTTGCAAATAAAGCATGTCTTTTTAATAGAGCATCAGATTCGACAGCCTGTTGGCACAACGAACGTGAAGAAATCGTGCACGAACTTGCCGTTCTTCGAGTACCCTGACAGAACTGTGTCGACAGCGCTGAATACATGTGAAATGAGGTGAAACGTCCTAGTGGTAGATCGCAAATCTCATCGCAGTCCCATTTATTTCAGAACGATTCAAGGGGTGGAGTACCAGGTGCTGGCATGTAATCTGGGTAACAACTGCAATGCAGCTTGCCCTAGAGAGGAGGGTACGTTGGTTTGTCATCAACGAACAAAGTAACTTTGCAAATTGTCCACGTTTATGAGGAATCAAAAAACACTGGAAGCGTAAGGTATTCACAAATTCTTAAGCTTCAGAGACGCTCATAAGCTGCTACAATTGTGAAGCAACTAACCAAGACGATTGTACAACTGGAACTTGTCAAGGATCGCACTGCACTTTCCGTGAGCAATTTTATGACAGTTCTTTTTTAGACGGGCGGATAGCACAGTGGTAGTGATGTCCGTCATCACGAGCATAGTGCTAGTTCGATTCAGCTCTGGGCCAACCAAGCCTCTCATTCCTACGGGGTCAGGAAAACTGGTAGCTTGCTTGTCCTTGAAAAAACACTCTGCAATCCAACTGGGAACACACCAGCCCGACTTTCTCAGGACTCCAGGGAAAACTGCTCGACCAACATTCTACGACATTCAGGATAAAATTAAAATCCTCAAGCAGCAACCAAAGCCACACCTAAAAACCTGGAAGACCCTCTTGGACGACGGGTGCCAGAAAACCACTCGAATGTAAGAAGTGCTGGGATCCGCACAGTATGCAAGAAAACGGATCACATAAAATGCAAAATAAAATAAAAACAAAAAAAGCTTTTTTCTCACAAGTAATTTCTTTTGTTCCTTTTTTTCTACATTCGTTACTTTGTATTATATTTGCTTTTTAATTATATGGAACAGTTTGGTTCCTAAATGTTTTTACTGACACGTTATACCTTAAGAGCACGTCAATATTTAAATTTTCCCCTCATCGAATTGATGTAACCGCCTTATTTCAGCCCCATCAATATCCAAACAAGTGAGGCTTTACTGAGACAATGCCATTTTTTGCTTTTACCATGTTTTTTATTATGAAGCGCGTGCAGCTCCATGGTTAGTAATGTCTTGCGTTACGCTAATGGTTCTTGCTTCGACCCGCGACCCTGGCAAAACAAATCTCGCTGGTTTCAAACTTATTTGGAGGGTAGAAGCACACGATTGATGCATCGGAAGGCCACCGCAACTCATTGCACGCGCTAAATATGAAACCAACATCTATACGATGCTAATTGAAGGCAAATTCATGGCAGTGTATCTGCAAGGGTTTTGCCTTTGAATTATTAGCCAACGAGCTCTATTACCACTTCCAATCTTATTTTCACTTTTAATTTAACCATCTACTTGCTTAGATACTTAGGTGATCTGCCTCAACATATCGTGGGGTTCTCAGTACTTCTGCCATTCCTTTAATTGTCGAGGAACCGTCATCCACAGAGGTGTTCGGTGTCCTATGTGGATTTGACTACAGTATGTAAATGTGCGAGATTTTGTCCTCAATGAGTTTTCCCTAGTTTTCCCTAGAAACCCGAAATAAATATGCCACTGCCTCCCTGTCTCGTTACCGTAAGTAGTTGGTGGCGTTGTGTGTTGGAAAGAAATTTACCGTTGCTGTTTTGTAGCTTACGTTCCTGGGGAAGAACAGCGATTTCATCTACACAGAGAGTAATTGCGATTAGCTACTTGGGAAAAATTTATCAACCTAAATCTTTTAATAAATAGCGATAAAGTTCTCAGTGTTGATTAATCCCTGAAAAACGCTCCAAGCATTCGACGTTCTTAAGCATCGCTGGAGGTGATTGAATGCATATCTGGCCTAATGACCTGTTGTTGCCTGTCGCTATATTGAGCCAGTGATGCTATCCTCCTAAACTAGTTTGGTACGAATTTTACGACCTAATAGAGATGAAAGCCTTGGTGAGCCTAGGGCTCCGAGACCGATCCCATATATCCTGCAGGGCGCCTCTGACCATGATACCAAACTTGTCTGGGAGGTGGGCAGCACTGACTCGATACATCGGTAGGTCACCACGCGTCAACTTATAGGCCGGATATGCATTCATTTTCCTCTAAGCATAATAAAGTCGAATTCATGTGGCATCCCTCAAGAATTGATCAACGCTGAGAGCTTTATTCTTTCTTTTAACTGTTTATATCAACCATGTCATCGCGCTCCTATGCGTCGAACTAAATACGATGCAGTGTTGACTCGTTACTCGTTCGCTATTATTTAAACGAAGCCGGAAATCCTCTTGAGAAGTAGACGCAAGAGATGGGCGCTTAAATTCAGTTTATTTTGCTCTCATTTCTCTAATATTAATCTTAAAATAACGCGTGTAAGCGCAGCTGCGACTCTTGTGAACAGCGTTTTTCAGAAAGAAGTCGATCCTCAACTCAGACTCATGTGAAAAAATCATGCACGAACTCCAATGAGCTGTTGTACGTCGACGGTATCCGATATTCCTCTTTTGGAATTTGCGAGTACAGGTAGGTGCGGGAAGGTGCTTACATCCGACAGAGTATTCTTTAGTACATGAAAAATGCAGTACCCTTCGACTTCAAAAGAATTAACCCAATCGGTACCATTAAATCAATACTAGGGAATCCTATGAATACAAAGAACACTTTCGTCTCAGTTTTACTTTTATAAAAGGGAATAGTAACTGCAGGGTAAGAAGTCCCTGTACGCTTTTCTAACTGCTAACTCAATTTTTTCAATAATTCAGATTTTATGGCTTAACTCTAGTACCTTTATTTAATGTTGGAGAACTTTCTTCAAGTGACCAAAATGAGCTAATACATTTCTGCCTGTCATCAAACATGTTTCGTACTTTCCGTTTGGCAACAAAATAGGAAATGAGTCGGAAACAGAAGAAAGCGTTAAGATATGCATCTCGTGTTCAGGCAGATCAACATGGTCAGCTATGCTTTCAAGCTCTGCAACTCGTCCTCATTCTGCAACTCGGCCTGTGTCCCCGGGTCGCCACTTTCAACAGCGTCTCCATTCTCCTCTCAAGCCTTACCCACTATTTCATCCTATCTACTTTTCTCGTTACACTTTTATATTCTCTTTCTATTCTTGTGCTAGAGAAACTGGTAATCAGAAAACGCTTATATCATATTCTCGCCAGTTTGTACACATTCATTTCGTAGTTGCCTAGAATTTCTCAAACCAAGTGGAATATTTTTATTTCGCTCTTTTGTTCACTGCAGGCGGATCACAGCTGTGACAAGTTTCTGACAAACGTTCCTAAAATGTGATAGATGAAATACAGCATTCCCACTAAACCATGACTAAAACCGCGGAAGTTCACTCACGAACTTCACAAGTACACGCTATGTGTGTTAGTGAAAGCCGCAGGTGGAGCTTGTTTCTGAAAATCACCGATCAGAAATTATTCACATATTCTCCACAATTTAATCTAATATAATTTTATCTTTAAAATGCTTTCGGACCTTTAAAATAGTCTCCGCACTTGATCCTGATGGTCTTGCGCCACCGCCACCTCGAGCGTAGACGCTTTGGACACCGCCGCTGAAAGCACCACCGCTGGCACCGCCTCCACTACTGGCACCACCACCACCACCAGCGTGCATGCTTTGGCCTCCGCCAGCGCCGCCACCAACGTACGTGCTTTTTTGGACTCCGCCACCGCCACCACCACCGTGCATGCTTTGGCCTCCGCCAGCGCCGCCACCAACGTACGTGCTTTTTTGGCCTCCGCCACCGCCATCACCACCGTGCATGCTTTGGCCTCCGCCAGCGCCGCCACCACCGTGCATGCTTTGGCCTCCGCCAGCGCCGCCACCACCGTGCATGCTTTGGCCTCCGCCACCGCCACCACCACCGTGCATGCTTTGGCCTCCTCCAGCGCCGCCACCACCGTACGTGCTTTTTTGGCCACCGCCACCGTATCCGCCAAGGTAGCGGTCCTAAAAATCACATTCAAATGTCTCGTAACTTAACTATTTGCTGCTTCATTATTTTGAAATTGAGTTTATGGCCATAAGCTGCATATCTTTTGTCGTGTGCGATTGATAGAGCTCTTATCGGAATGTCAATGAATCACTGATTTTGAATTAATGATTGCTTGTTGATTTTTCGATGAGTTGTGTAGATATAAGCAGTAATATTAACAGGATGGGGTGGATAACACAGTTGTAGTGATGTCCGTCATCACGAGCATGGTGCTGGTTCGATTCCACTCCAGGCCAACCCTCTCGTCCTTTCCACGTCGGGAAATTGGTACTGGGCTAGTCGGGAAAAAAATCACTCTCTGCAATCCAATTGGGAACGCTACATGCAGACTACCTCAGGACTCCAGGGAGAATTGCTCGACCAGCAAACTACTGCATTTAAGATGAAATGAAAATCCTCAAGCAGCAGATCCACACATTAGACGTGAAGATGGATCAAATAAAATAGAAAAAAGAAATAAATATTAGTAGGATAAGAATTTGATCTGTGACACCTTTGTTGATCTACCGATAGATGAAATAGGAATTTCTGCAATACTGGAGGAATCTTCGTCGAAAAGCGTCAAACGTTACTTCGTTGCACACGAGCTGCGTTTGGTCAGGAGCTGCGAATGCAAATGCGCGGATATCTCGGGTCTCGAGGAAAAATCACCGACATCAATGTGTCAATGAGGAGAGAAACCCCCGATCCTCAAGTTCTAGATGAACACTCGTAGGAACACCACCATTTCCATGGACGACAAAGTAGCAAGACAACGAAACGAATAGATGGATTACTAGGGATGGCAGGTCATTTCAGCAGCGACTATCATGTCATCAAGGTGTGTTAGTTAATAATAAAGTGTTAATAGTGACGTTTCAATGCTGTTTGAGAAACAGAAAGTTTTATGGAGAATCAGCCATCAAAATGACCTCCTTAATAAATATTTGAACAGTCGGCAAAAGGTGGACTAACTCTGTTAGGCTTTCTCAAACAAAAAATACTGCAAAAACCACATGGCCATGGAACTTTGTAAAAATTACGAAACACTGTTGGGTTAGCAAGAATCCAGTCATCACCACATGTTGATTAGCGAACTGCGTTGCGTTGAGCTTTGATTAGCCCATCCACAAAGGCTACGGAGACATCGAACGATCCAATAAGTTAACATTGAGACCCCGGTTTTAAACAGAAGTTTGAGCTTTACCAATTTGAAGAATAAATTTTGCCATCCAAGAATGCATAATGACTTAGAATAACTTTTGCCGAACAAGAATGTATAAAGACCTCTTCAATCGAGAGACCTTTTGGATGTGTAACAACTTAGCAGTCCTATTATAACCCCATGAAATCCTTAATGCTTAGGTGCAGTGGAAATTCGTAAACCATTTTGATACGTCTTGACTGGCAAGATTTTCTTGTGAAGAAAGTTGCCCATTTACTTAAGGAAACCGCATTGCGTTGTTGTATGAACCCATCTGCAAAACAGATGTGATAGAGTTTTGTGCTAGGACTCATTCGACTTGTGAACAACCGATAAGGAGACGTGAGCACTCGAGTCTTCGTGCGGCAGAATCAATTCTTCTTCAGAGGTCAGTGGCGAAAATATTTTCCTCTTTAATGGTAGCTAGAACTCATTGTGAATAATTTCATATACTAAGCGCTAAAAAATAATTGCAAGGAATTTAGCTTCGTGAATTTTTCCGGTTCTTCATGCTCGTCTGACATCACACAGATTAATCTGTCGTTCGGCAGAATCCACTTCTAGTCACATATCACAATCCGACAGAGAAGTGGATCTTTAGGGAGGCGATCATACTATATTATCGAGACTTTTCCTCTTTTTAATTGATTTTACGAGTTCCGACGCTGTAACTTTACTTGGACCGAGACTTTCCGCAAGATCATGAGCGTTTCTGTGAACATATGCCTCAATGGGCTTCTCTTGGACACGATCCGTGCACGGTCATAACTGCATGCCTTGGGGGTCTCACCTTCGTTTCAAAAATTTTAGGAACCATGCGATATTTATTTTGGGACACATTGGCTGAATACTACGATCGATTTTCGAGGCCTTATGGCCACCTTTTTTATTGTCATTCCCTGTGGACATCACTAACATTCAGATTAGCATAAAACCAAACCTCCGCTTTAAAGTATTACATGGTGTAGTTGAAAGGGAAAATTGTGCTGATAAAGAAGAACATCGAAGCCTTTCTATGGCAAAGTAGGAGAATTTAGTTATGTAATCTAATACCACGGAGGAGTTAATCTAAAGCTAACAAGCAATCTTAGAACTCCTACCGTAATAAATACACTCTGGACTCCACCGCCTGCGTCTAGCTTAAATGCAGCTAGAGGCTGTTGACCCTTCGGTCTAGCTTGAGCCTGCGCTCCTCCGCCTTGGGCCTGAGCTCCTCCGCCTTGAGTCGACGCATATGCCCCCTGAATAAAAAATTTATTTTTTTTAATCGCCAGATTATGCTCGAAGTCCCAAGTTACTGATGTTGGCGAAAATCGGAAACAGCAAGTGGAGTAAGTGTGTCGTTCTTTCTCGACACTGTGAAGGAAAGTCAGGCTGTGCATCGATTGGACACGGATTACCACTGTCAATGACATCATATATGATATCGCTCCCTTGATATTGAATATTATTTTTTTAATACGTATTTTTCCAACAACCAACGAAATATAGTTATTTTTCATTTGCAGCCTAATATTGTTTAATGGCAGAGTATCATGTGAAATATAACCATGACATTTCACGACAGGGGCGCGTGTTGCGCTGTGCTCAGAGACGCCCTGCGACACACACGTGAACGGGATCGATCTCCGCGCACGTGGTTCACTAAGCTTTCCATCCTTCAAGAGTGAGTCGGCAAATTTGTGCCAGACTTGTCTGGGAGGATAACAGGACCGGCTCGATACAACGATAGGCCACCGCGAGTTATTGTAAAGGCCAGATATTCATTCTACCACCTACAACGATGGTTAATGAAGTCGAATGCATGGCGCTTCCCTCAGAAATTGATTAACGCTGAAAGTTTTATCCTTTATCCTTTATAACCATGATAATGCGGAGATATTTGCAAAACTCCGGACCACAGGTGTCTGCGGTGGGGAACGAACAGGCTGTTACCTTTACTAGGAGCTAACACGTTCACCATCACACCATGCGAGTCCTCTGTCTCGCCTTTCTCCCAGCCTTGCTGTTGACCAGAGTTTTGCGAATCTCTTAGCATCATCATGGTTATATTTTACTTCATCAGTCAAATAATCCAACTTTTTTCATGAGCAAATCAGGGTTGTTATTACAGCCTTTATTCATTTACAACAGTTGGCGTGTGGAGGTTTCGCGTTTTTCAGAGCCTGGAAAGGTCAAATTGACATGCAATCTACTCAACCAAACACTTTCATCACCTCTGCAGACAAAACTTAATACATAAATCTTCCATTCGCATAATAAACCGCTTTTATTTAAACAATCGCTGTTCTATTTGCAAGTCTTCTAGTTATTTGGTGGAGACCAGCCAATGGTGGAGCATTCTGTGCGTCTGGTCTCCAATAAACTACAAGACTTACAAACAAAAAAACAGTGAATGTTTGAAAGAATCTGTTTACTATTCCAATAAAGATTTATGTATTACGTTTTGTCTGAGGTTATAAAAGTATTTGGCACAGTAGATTGCACGTCAATTTGACTCATCGACGCTCTGATAAGGGCGAAAGCGCCGAAACGACGTCAGCTACTTTGCATTAATAAATGCTGTAAAAATCACCTCATGATTGCTCTTGAAAAAACAGTAAACTGCTCATTAACGCTAAGGTTAAAAGATAGTCGTCGAGGGATTTGCTACAACCACTGAAGTACTCACTGGTCCTACATAGAAGCTGGTGGTTCCTTTTCCGCCGCCGTGGGCTACGGATGAAACCACACCTCCTTCAGTTTGGGCACTCTTGCCAGGAATGGGTGCGGCAGGCCTAGACGAACTGGGTTCAGCAGAAGTGCTTAATGCTTGCTCCTAAAAAGATGATAAATAACTCTATTGCCTAGTTAGTATGTTCAATCTCGGAAAGTTGAAATAGGGAACGTTACAAGAATGTAGCGAAAAAAATTAGGAATTCACTTTTTTCACTTCTTCCGGAGTTTTATTCTGCAACTTGCTCTGAACTAGAATGTTGGCGTTTGCAATTTGTTGGCCATGCGTCTTGTTGGCCGCCTCAGCACTGGAAGTCGAACACGATCAAGCGAATCGCTAATGGTAGCAGGTAGAAGGAAATGAACAGTGTCGTTTTCTTGTTCAGCAATCGCGAGGTTTTTAAACAGCATACATTTACTTCCAATGAGGAAGTCACGAAAAAGCGGCTCTGAAGAAGGCGATTCTGCCGAAACGTCAGCTAGCGTTGTATTGTATTGTGTTTTTATGGAAGTAAATGTATGCTGTTTAAAAACCTCGCGATTGCTGAACAAGAAAACGACACATTCATATTCCAATGCCGAGGTTAAGAGAAAGTCCATCCTGGGAAATGAACAGTCTTATTACTGGCTATTACTAAAGTACTGCTATATGGTGTATAGATACTATAGTATGCTATATAGGCTATTCATACGATACTGATAGCTGGTAATATTTTTCTAAAGTGGTAATGCACTATCGCATTCAGAACATTTCTTATCGAAATGCCAGACAATTACTTGTTCACTGCTCCCGTGGCAGCAGTGCCTCCAGTTGCTTTCGGATCCTTGACGAAGACGGGCTCACTGTAGTTGCCCTGAAATTCAATTTCGAATTTTTTACCTGGCCTAATATCCCTTAACAACAGGAAAAAGCAAAGGAGAACAAGATCCCTTAAGAATTAACAGTGTTGCTTGACGTACCTGGAGCACCATACCAATGACTTTCTCATCCTGCTTCACTGCTTGGTTTGCTGGTATTACATGGTGAGTACCTTCCTTATTGGAGACCACTTTTCCTATCACATCATTTGGTGCCACATTATCGTTAGGAGTTGTGGGAATGTTCGCCCCACCTGCAACGCTAGTATAGCACCAATAATTCTTTTTTTTGAATGTAATAACAACGACTGGAACTTCAGCATTCTCGATTTAAATGAGTTCAATCCAAAAGAAGTTGTTGGCTTAGTTAAAAAAATTTAATAACCCACCTAACCCGTCTCCGTCCCCGTCGGGGACGTCCCCCCGTCCCGTCCCGTACAACCCCGTTTCATTATCCCACCTTCTTTAGCGCCGATCTCTTGCCCTCCGGTTTGAGTGAATACGACGATTCCTTCATTGTTCTTCGTCAGTATACCCACAGTCGCATTCTTTTCCTGAAATGATAGCAAATATCATAACACCGGAAATTGTTTGGCCTTGCATTCAGTGCTGCAGTGTATCCTTTATACGTTTAGAAGAACTCCTCTGACTTTAGGAGCATTGTTTTCATTGGTGATTTGCTTGAGCACCGGCATTCCTCTTTCGTTCACGTCGACCTCGCATGGTGAGCAGACTGGAGTTAAAAGGGTGATGTTGCACCAATAATTTCGGCAGACCAATAAGCACAGAGGACACTTACCCGTCTCTCCAATCTTGTTTTGGAGACCTTTGTCTACTCCTTTTACCTCTACGTTCTTCGGATAACCCCGATCGTCAGGCTAAATTCAACACAATACTTTGTTTAATGAGCATTGATAGTACTGCTAAAAAGTGTACCTGGCACTCATCATCAGCATAGAAAATGGCTTCACCATGAGCACCTTTGCAGAGCTGTCCTTTTGTGTAATTTTGATACTTTGGTTGACCATTTGCATCTTTAGGAGTCTTTTCTTCCGGGACAAATTGTGGAGTGTCTAAAATGTGTTTTACATCAATATTTTCGTGATAAAAAACTAGCCTCAGTGTTTCGGTTACCATGAGGTCCTTTTACCAGAATTCCTCTCATCGGTTTGTCGATGTGGGCTCTCGGGCCGAGGTCGGATCCCTCAGCTTTCACCTCCACCAACACAGCTACACCGACAGGACCCTAAATTTTAGTGATAATTAACACCTTCTTATAAAAGCAGGTGAGATGTGTAGCCTTACTAATGCGCAGATCTTGTCAGGGGTGAGAGCGCCGTCGACCGGCTTGTCATCATCACTCACAGAATCGCCAGCATGTCGAAGTTCGACGACCTTCCTGCAGGTAAATAGCTTAAAGTTGGTGTTCATCAGTGCTATTGACCCTCCAATAGAAAGGAAAACGTATTTTTTTAGAAGTTTTTATAGACTGATCTTCTTAAGCCGATGCGAGGTTGGTACAAGGTGTCGTTAGTTATTGAGTCCTACTCGTAACAGCACGGCTCTGAGGAAGGCGAAATCGCCAAAACAACCATCGAGCCACAACAACAACAACAACAACAACAACAGCAACAACGACAACCACAACTTATACCAACCTCGCATCAGCTTAAGAAGATCGGTCTATAAGGACATGTAAATAAATAAACCGATTATTTGTAGCGAGGTTTATTTCATAGCGTTCAAAAAACAAAGGATGCAGCCTTCTCGCATTTCGCTGCCACTTGTTTTATAACAAAATCTAATCTTCTCAGATCTGTACCCTTTTATGTATGAATGATATAATGAAGTGCAACTTAGAACAAATGAGTTTTTTCTGGAAGGCTAGTGCCGAAATTCGCTTTCGTTGCTACAACAAATACAATATGAGCAGCGCATTGGTGAGATTTGTCCTGCAAGATATACTCAGAGTCGGTTAGTTCACGGCACAACTCAGCAGCACCCTAAGGTGACAAAGTTCCTCGAGGGTGTGAAATTAACAACAGAGTTGTTCAGGTAAAAAAGGGACACTGAATTTATAAGATAGCTGACGTCATTCAGGTTAAGTAGTTTCAGCAGTGAGTATCTAACTAACCACATGTCTTGCTGTATCTAAAAAAGTACGATTTCGGTATAGTACTACCGCTGAGCAATTAAGCTCACTTCCTGTCACTGTCGTCGTCCTTCACCATCTTTTTATCATCGTCCATCACCGCCTTCTTCTTCGTCTTCTTCGCCTTCTTCATCCTCATTCGTGCTCTACGCTCCTCTTTGTGTTTACTACATCGCTTTTTCTTTCCAGTCGGCAGACGAACGCATCCACACGGTGGCGCATCGACCATTATCTAAAGAGAACAATTTCTCTAATAGGTAGACATTTTCTGGTGAAAAGGAGCGAAAATACCTACCACCATGATTTCTTGGTCACCGCTTTTTATTTTATGCACACTCGCAGTCTGCGTCTCAGGATTGAAATCTTTTGGAAGTTGGCCTTGGGCTTGTAATTTAATCGCTTCTTCTGTATTAAAGTAGGCGATGAGTGATCATTTTGGGGATGGATACGAATTGTCATTGCTGAGCGTCTTCAGAAAGGACTGTGTTTTGAAACCCAATTACCAGTAACTCGATGAGTCTTCGTAACAAGGCGGTGGATAAAACAATGTAGTAATGTGAACACAATACACCTTCGCGCTCTGAATCAATGAGAATTGACCGACCTTTTGTGAGAGGAGTTCCAGGGGTAGCTTCTACAGCTTCCTTTGTGGGCATCATACAAAAGTTCATATTAGCACCATCGCTTAAAAGTGCGGACGACCCTGCTTGCTAAAATATCTTGCGCTAAAAGTAAGGCGATGAGGGTTAATAGAAGTGATTTCATTGATAATATTACACTATGCCTTATATAATATAATCAATAATAGTAATGAATTGCGGTTATTAGTAATGCTATAGACGGGTGTTAAAAACTGACGACGTCTTAGTTAGGTACCAGCGCAAGTATTTATCAGTACCTTGCAACCTTTTTATCTTTATTAGCTAACAAGTAAATAAAAAAGCACCGTCTGCTTGGATTCGTTCGTCATCATCACATCTGCAATGGAAATTTGAAGAAAAGGACGAATTATGCTCTAACAGAAAAATTTACCACTTATCTCGTTGTCTCTCCCTACGGTTTACCGCCTCATCGTGGCTTGGAGGTGTTCCTGGCTATCGGACTGCGATGTAAACCGGGGGATTCATCCCACGATAGGGTCTGCGAAGCTGAGAAGGAGTCCGGCTTTTCAATCAGGAAACCTAGCTAAGAATAACCCAGTACCAAGATCCTTCACTGTCTTGGTATCAAACTAATCACATGGTGGCAAATCCCCCTCTCATCCACAAGAGGGTTGAATTCGGCCAAACCGTCCTTGCGACTCCAGAAAACCACAACGGCTAAACCAGCAAATTTCCGGAGAATGGAAATTATGCTGGAGCCCCATCAACCAGTGAAGACGGGCCGTCTAAGTATCTAAGCAAGTATCTCGTAGTTTACTCACCAAATACTTCCACAGAAGTGAATACCTGCAAGAAGAGGGGTCGACATTGATGGGGTCCTAGGAAAGAGTGGGAAGCAAAAAAAAAACTTGATCGGCTCACTTTGAAGTGTCAGTAGTACGTGTTAGTAGCAGAGACCCACAACGTGAAATGAAACCCACAGCACCAGATTACTTTATCGAAATGTTTACGTTACCAGTAAAATAACATTCGCTTTATCACATATACATCATTTTTTGGTTTCCGAAGAAAATAAGGGTGAGATTTTTAAAAAAACAACAGCGAAAAACAATTATCCGAGACCTTCTAACTAGAATCCTTTGCAGTGGTAGCGCCTGTGGTGTGCAGTGGTCGGAGGCACCCTGCAACACACACGTGGAATCGATCCGCTCTCCCACGGCTCACCAAACCTTCCATCTCTTCAGGGTCGGAAAATTGGTACCATACTTGTCTAGGAGGATAGCAGCACTGGCTCGATACATCGGTAGGCCACCGCGAGTCATTTTAAAGGCCAGATATGCAATCAATCGCCTCCGACGATGCCTAATGAAGTCGAATACATGGCACATTCCTCAGCGATTGATCAACGCTGAGAACTTTATCCATCCTTTATCCTTCACAGTGGTTGTTGATCAGCACTAGTGGTCCAATTGTTTAGTGTGGAAGCACAGCGAAAACTGCTGTCTTCTTCATGCAATTGTGTTTCAAAACGGCGGTTCTATTACATTCTATTATCTTTTTTCTATATCCTGGAATTCATAGTGAACGATCTGTCCAGTCATGTCAGTCACTTGACTGCTCTACAACTTGCCCATCAAAGCGATCATATTCGTTCAAATACCTTGCATGAAGTCTAATCTACAAATTAAGCCGGATTTAACGAGGGATTCAACTGCTTGTACAACGTCTGCTGCGTTACCAAAGTTGGTTTGATGTTCTATAAACGTGGCCTTCTCATTTATGCCCACAAAAAAGGCATTGGGTGGCATAGGAACAAATTCCTCTGTAAGCATTGCTTGCAAAATATCTGGGTGCTTTGTGCACAAGAATATTCGTCTACGGCAACTACTCTGCACAGATTCCTTGGTTGCTTACAATAGCTGTACCAATCATTCATAATCTTCGTAGCGGACTGGTAACAAGAACATCTCTTTGTCGAATTTAGCTGTTCATTATGATAAGACGATGAAGCATTACCAAATTGGCGACTACATGAATCACAAATGACTCATACCTTCCCGACGTGAACGAACTGCACATTTCAGAAAAAAAAAAATCACACCTGAGCTATAGTGAATTATACTAATCGAAATAAATGTGACATGATTCTACTACGATTTTCCAAAACTATGAAACATATAATTCTAACCTTTTCTCGTCAAGGATCGCTTCTCTAAAGGTAGCGCTGGTGTTCCCAACTGCACCGATTGCTTAGGAAAATTGATCATTAAAATTTACTTTCAGATTTTTTTTGAGAGCTCATAGCGCAGCTTTTAGTAGTGTCTAACTAACAAACATGGAATTGGTCCTTCGCTCGTTTCCGCGCCTAGTGAAATAAAAAGTGGAGAAAAACAAATCAACATCATTATCAACGAACAATCAATCAACAACAGTACTGTACATATAGGCACTACAGAGTGAGATCACTTCATTCAAGTGCTGCACTGCAGTAGATTCGGCTCAATACGAATACGAGAATCCACATTACAAGGAGAACCACTGACTCTTCTCTATCTGGACCTGAAGAAAGCACTAAAGCTGTCTCGTTATCAGAATAAATTTTTACAACAGCCTTTTGTAAGCTCGTGAATGAACGAAAATGTCATTGTCTATAATTGCTGGCGCTAAACAAAAGTCAGCATACAAAACTGACTTATTTCGTCAGCAAACCATCGCGAGTCAGTCTATGGGCCAGATATGCATTCAATCACTTCTATCGATGCTTAATGAAGTCGATACATGGAGCATCCTTTAGAGATTGAACTTTATCCTTTATCTTTTTACCAAAACACGACGGTTTCTGAGGCAACATTTTGTCATATTTTGATAACTTTTTAGAGTTATAAGCCAAATCGAACATGTTTCACAAAAAATTTCAGGATGAACTCCGTAGAGGAGAAGGGTTTGGATGTTCGCTGGCGAACCTAGAGTGGCAAAAAGTCGATTTTCCTTTGATCAACTGTGCTTTCGTCAAATCAACGACAGTGATGAAGTATATTGGCGAGCAGTCGTCAATCTTTATGATCAAATGTTGCTTTTACTTTAATAATTCCACTAAGTCACGCTATTTAAAATTGAAACCCATCAGAAAGAACGTCCAGCTTGACTGGACTCCACTGTTGAAGACAAGGCTCGAGCAAAATAGTTTGGAGCTTTTAAAACTGGAATTTTCAAATACTTACGAAGTTCAGATTAACATAGGGGTATGTCGACTGTGTCCGAACAACTCTGCTTTCTCTTTTCGCTTCCTTTTTACGACGAGCTTCAAAACCGTCTGTCTGAGACTAAAACCGCAGATTCATACAAACATTTCACTACTACGGGCAACTGAATTTGGAAGGTTTTCACGAAGCAAACGTATTTAATACTCAACATTGCTGTACTGATGAGGGAATCATTTTTAGGTGAAGAAGAGTTTGAAGAGCTCCCGATCAGTGGTCGATTATTTGCCTTGACCTCGGCGCGCGGGAGCGATGCATCCCCATGTTCGTCCCGGAAGTTGAATTTAGCCTCTGTATGTTCCCGATCGTTTCCTCGATATTCTTGCCTTCTCTATCGGTGACGTACTCTCAGTTCTTAACCTTTAATACATCTAGACTTTAAGATGACCGCGGTTGCACCTCCACCATACTCCAGTGTCGAAGATGCCAACGACGTCACTCTAGTACCGGCAAGGGTAAATTCATTCTAAATTCGCTCAAAACATACTCAACTTTGCAGGGGTTTCTCTTGCGTAATAAATTTCAGAGAGCCTAGGAAGTGCACAAAATTTGAGATTCTGCCTAACCATCTTCACATATGTAACGATTGCAGTAGATTCTCATTCTCGTTTCTGTCTGCTGTTCGTAGAGACACTGTGTTTCGTTCAAGAATCGGTGGCCTGCAAATGTCGTGCTTTCATCCACAAGGAGTTTCTAAATGGAAATATAAATTTTCGTCTGACCAGCGAGAATTTTTGCTCAATTTGGTCGTATATTTCAACGCGTTTGTGTTTTTTTATACTTTCTTTTTATATACAAAGGCGCTTGTGGCGCGGTGGTCGAAGGCGCCCTGCATCACAAACGAGGAATCGATTCACGCGCCCATGGCCCACCAGGCCTTCCGTCTCTCCGGGGTCGGCAAATTTGCACCAGACTTGTCTGAGAGGATAGAAGTATTGGCTGGATAGATCGATAGGCCACCGCGAGTCATTGTAAAGACCAGATATGCATTCATTCACCTCCAAACGATGCTTAATGAAGTCGGATTCATGACGCACACCTCAGAGATTGATCAACTCCAAGAGCTTTATCCTTTTTATATACATCTCCACATGCATCGTTTATATGTGTTCTTGCCTAAATTCTGAAATAAGAACATCTGCAGATCTGATCTGCGAAGTCAAGCTCGACGGTGGGTGCGGCTAATAACTAGATTTCGGGACCAACCACTCCAATAACTCCAGAGGTGGTTTGGATTGTCGAGCGCCAAGGTATTGTAGTGGTGGTGGCGTCGTAGCAATGAGCCAAAGGTTCGAAATAAGATCGCAGCACTTCTTGGTTGCCTTAGGTCTTCACATTATTAAGGCAATTCTAGACTCCTTAACTAGGCTCATGGTTTCCGAAGACATACTTAGTAGTTCAGAAAACAAGAATCGTTGAAGAGACTTCTTTTCACGTTTTCTCGCTATTTTGATCTCTACTTGTTACTATTCCGCCATTTGCAAAAGCAGGAACCTGCGGGTGAATTCGGTTTTCACTAGGATGGAAAAATGGGTCCTCATTAGCACGATGAGATCATAAGCATATGATGACGACACTACCTTCTGTCTGCAATGACATAACCCGTCAATGAGTGGACCTTCCTATTTAACGATGTCCTGCGACGATTTTCTTTTCGTTTAAGAAAGATTGTATCTAAGCGGCATTCCGTAAGAAAAGTTTGACAAAACCATTTACACACCCTTGCCGAGAAATTTTGTAATAAAAAGAAACACGTCGATTAATGTGAAAAATCAGATCAGGCCAGGTGATGATCACATCATCACCAACAAGGCCAACACTCCGTAGCCAGATCATTTTTCACGGAAGATCATGGGACCTAAATTATTTTTGCATGTGGTTTTCCTTTCCTTGCTCTACCCAAAATTTTATGATGGGTGCTGAGGTCATAAGAGAGTGAAGTTTGGCTTCGAGAAAGCTCTGCTGCCTACTAAAGAAGTTTTTACGGAGTTTAGTGGGCGCGCTATTCAAATGTGGCTCTACTGCGTTCATAGGATAGCTTCCTGCTTGTTGTTGCATCGATACGCATCATAGACGTAAGATCTGAGTGTGCAAGAGACTTAAAGTGGATTTCCACTTGTCAAACAGGAATTTTTTTTGGACAAGAATATTATGGCGTTCCTGCATTTGTGGGTAGAAGTAATTTCCAACTTTTTACATCTCAATAGGTTTTTCCGTCCAGCGATAGAGTTTCTCCAAGCTCTGCTGCATTTTATCTTACGACGTCCTTTTAAGCTAAGCTTCTCAATAAAAAGTGAAATCGCACTATATGATTGGTCCTTGCTACACATCGCAGTTTGACACCAGTGAACTTCTGACTGTGTTGAGAACGTCGTCAAAAAGCGACGATGGAATCGACGAACATTTGATTTTGGTTTTGGTAGTCCATTTTTATTCTTACTTCTGTATAGATCAATTTCTTACGCATGGTAATGAATTCTAAGAAATCTTTACCTCCGTTTTTAACATGTTTGCTAGTACTGGGTATTGATGCTTAAAATCTCGACTAGGCATTTCTGAGAAGGTAGAGTTGTAAGAAAAAGTAAAACCTATGAGTTTCTATCATTTTTGCTAAAATGGAATTATACAATACAGAATTCACTTTGTTCAGGTTTCTCATGCTCCTTCATCCTCTACACAAGCAGTAACCGGCTTGAATAAGGAAAGTAAGTCGTGTAGTAATTTTTTTGGTTGACGACAAAATGAAATTCTGGTGTATTCATCTACTAGCAATTACTCAGTTATCCCCAGTAGTCTACTGTCACGTAGTGGGCACGGTTGTCCCTGGATTTCGAACTACTGTGCACATTTAGAGCTCGTTCTTCGACAGTATCACCCGAGCGCAGAGGGAGTTCTGTGTTTCCAAGCGTACGTATACCCATTAGCATGAATCGTTGCGCGTAAAAAGGACCCACGGAGGTAGTAACGGTATTTCACTTTGAGAATGTTCATGAATAAGTCTTACTATTGTGTTCATTGCATACCTGTTGCGGGTTTGACATCCTCTGGGTCAGTTCAGCGGTTGCTGCTCAGTTCCGCAATGCTTCAGTTCCCTTGAACTTTCATAATCTTTCGACGAAGTAGTTCACAGCCCTTCATTTTCTCTGTCTATTCCAGCTGGACATTTCAAAGCTTCTATTGGTGTCTTGTAGTTGATTACGTCTTGGTGGAAGTTACGGTTTCTCCTTTTCGCCACTTTTAGTATTTAGGACGACAATTTTTACGGCCCCCTTTAAGGTTCTCTTCGGTCTCTTTATTTACAGGGCTAGCAAAGTTTTGCAACGTTTGACGTAAGTTAAATTTTATTAGCCTTACTCGCATTGCTACACCCAGCGCAGCAGTAGCTTGTGAGTTTAAGATTTGTATTTGAAATTGTTTACATTACATGAGATTGATCATCGTCTTCATCGAAGCCGATAATCCGAGTCGATGGACCACAGCTGCTATTCTTCTCGACGTGGCATCTTCGCAGTCGTAACGAGACTGGTCTTCTTCAATTGAAAAATCGCACGAATAAGACATGTTTACCCGACGGTGCTCTTTTATATAGAGCGCTTATTGTTGATATGACCATACACTGATAATAATTTGTTTCCCAACGGATAATCTACCCTGCAGCAGTCGGTACTATGTTGGCTAGCCCATAGCAAGTAGCAATAACATTTTCAGACCGAGCGTCATTGGTTTTTCACTGATAATTGTTCTGATATTTGTCTCATGATGTCTTTTAGTGATAGTTTTATAGCACTATTGTGAAATATTTTTATTTATCCGGTAGTATTCCTCATCGCTGAAGGCGATAAAGGTTTTTTTAAGGAGTCAATAACGATGTGTATCCAAAATGCATTCAAATAGAATTTGAAAACTGGCTCTTGTGCGATTTGAGTGATAAGTGATTCAGAAAAAGGCTAGCATTCAATTCTAAACTTGTGCTGACTTACCTGCTTGGCCAGTTGAATTGTGAATTGAAGAATCACGAAGAATCGTGCAGACTTCGGCACAGCTTCCAGAGGCGTAATCTGCTTGTAAGCCATGATTCCCTTCCAGCTAACGGCTGTGTTGTTACTAGGATGACACTGATGTCCTGTAGTGTTTTGCCTTAGGCTAGGCTTACGGATAAAATTTTCGAGCTCTTTCTTAGCTTAGGATAAGGTTAAGCGATGATGTGTCTGCGTCGGTGCTTCTCAGTTTGATATTCATGGACACCCACAGCCGACGAGGCGGCGGTAAACTACTGCCTCTTGTATGACATGATCCTCGATGAAATTACCCGTGGAAGCAAATTCATCTAGTCTATCTTCTTGCTATATTTGTGGCACAAGATTAGAGCAATGAGGTTCTTCGTTGCTACAGGTTCTTTTAACGGTTAGTTACGCATTGTGGTTCATCAGGGCATTCCCATTGTGCACGCCTAACTTTTTTTTGCTAGAGCTGACCTCCACCATACTTTCTACATGTTATATCAGACAATCAATTGATTTAATATTACTATAATCATTTAACCATAAAAAAACCATAGCTCAGCCGAAGAACAGAAACGTCATCCTAGAGTTGTTCTCTCCTCCATACCAAGAAATTTTTGTGTTTTCCGTCTATCTCTGCCACTTACATAGAGAGTTTTTGCGTTTAATCGTGGCCGAACTTTCCTGTAAGTGTTCTTTTTGAAAGAATGAAATACTCATGGAAAAACTTGGCGAAAACCAATCTGAAGGGCACGTTAGTGGCAATGCTTAAAAAATTTATTTATGCGCTCAGTAGGCTACTTATTATTCTTAGCCTTCTACTCTGTAGAAGTAACAGGAAACGAAAGCTGCAAAATTTTCAGCTTTGGCCTCACCTAACACTAATGCGCTGCCTAATACTCTACCGTATGTTACTGCACCAAATACTCCTCTTCCGGTCCAACAAGGACAACAACAACAACAACAACAACAACAACAACAACAACAACAACAACAACAACAACAACAACAGCAGGCCATGTCGGCACCAACTCAGACAGCATATCTGTAGGTTGTACATTATCTTGGTAGATACCACAAAAGTAAATAGCGCACTATGTTTTTATTTCCGAACATTGGCCGGGCAATTTTTAGTGCAAAGATATTTAGCGCTAGGAGTTTCTAGGATATTAGATTACTACTGGAGCGTTAAAATATGTGTTTCAAGGTGAGACCATTAAGCTACCTTTTAATCCGTCAGAAAGGATGAAAAGTATGTTCTTCACATTTATCATTCGACATGGTTTCCTTCGCTCCACTTCATTCTATCGTTGAGGTTTCCACTAACCTCAAGTAGTTAGTAACGATTGCTAATCTAAATATCCGGACGACTTTAATGTGTTCGCTCCCGTAAGTCAACGATTACACGGAGTAATTCCCAAGACCGAATTTCTGTTAACCTCGGCATTAATTGATAATCCAATATTTTTCTTCAATAAGCAGACACGAGGTTGTTAATATAGAATTTATTAGAATACAATAGCTGACGTTTCGGCGGATTCGCCTTCTTCAGAGCCTGGAAAGGTCAAATTGAGATGTGATCTACTCAGCCAAACACTTTCATAACCCCAGCAGATAAAACTTGACAAATCGATTTGCATTCGCATAAGAAACAGCTTCATTCAAACACCTACCGTTTATTTGTTGTAAGTATTTAAGTCAATTGATGGATAGTCGCCGCACAGAGTAATACATGAGCGATAACTGTGTCTGTGTCAATGCCAAAAATTCAAAAATGAACCGCAAGGAGGAGTGTCTTGTTATCACGCGTGACCTGGCGCCATACCTCAGGCTAATCCAATCACCTGACACAGGCACAGTTATCGCGCATGTATAACTCTGTGCGGCGGCTATCCATCAACTAACTTAAATACTTACAACAAATAAACGGTAGGTGTTAAAATGAAGCTGTTTCTTATACGAATACAAATTTATTTCTTAAGTTTTATCTGCTAGGGTTATGAAGGTGTTTGGCTGAGTAGATCACACCTCAATTTGACCTTTCCAGGCTCTGAAGAAGGCGAATCCGCCGAAACGTCAGCTATTGTATTCTAATAAATTCTATATTAACAACCTCGTGTCTGCTTATTGAAGAAAAATATTGGATTACACGGAGTGCTACATTTTATCACAGGATTTTTTCACGTGTAATTTGCCATCTAGTGATTCGTCAAAGCACTCACCAAATATGTCTGCTTCTTTCAGTCCTGCGATGAATGTTGTCCCTGGACAGGTTGGTGGAGGTCCTTGCATGACTTCGCCACCAGTCACCACCTATGGAACCGGTGCGACGCCCATGCCTGGAGTTCCAATGTATCCTGGTGCGATCCCTATGCAGCCAATGTGCACTCAGCCTGCCACAATGGGAACGAATCCAGCAATGGCCATGATGGGTCCGAATCCTGTTCAGAACGGTGAGCTCAACAAGAAACAGCGTGTAGTTTTTCTTATTAAAACGTATTTTTTATTGGTATTAACGTTTGCGAGAAATGTTTTTATCACTGATTTTTATATTTTCGACGGTTGTAAAAACGGGTAAAACTCAAAACGATGAATCTTCTATTTGTTTCAAACTTGTGCCATAAATCCCTGAATAATTTCTCTTTCTAAAAAACCGAAAATTTTCGATAAATGCGGTGTTTGAAGGTGGTCTATTATGTAGATAGAAATAACGGCATCGCTTGGAGATCGTGCGGCCTCGGCTTTCTTGCCCATATCCTACCCTCGGCTTCATACCCTCGACTCCACTCCGTTCCTTGTTTTGAGCTCCTCCTTCTGTTTCCTCATCAACTCCTTGACAGTTTTTATCGTACTAAAGTGAAATGGTTGTATTATCGTATTATGGGGACTAACGTAACCACCGCAACCCGCTCCTAGCACCCACCCACCACTCATCATTCTACACTTCATGATCCATTGGACGAATAAAGGAATCCGACACAAATCCCGGATCAGCTCGATTGATTCGATCAATTCGATCTGCTCGTTCACACTGGTCAACGTGATCCACTTCCACAAACAACTTTGCAGCTCGAACAGCTCAATAGAGCCAACTCAATCACGTAACAGGATTCCGTTAAATGACTTTGTTAATTTCACGTATTTACATAGCTGATGAGTTCTTTCCCTTCGCGTAACACATACATAATCATTTCAGGAGGAATCAACCTTGTTGTGAACACCAATGCAAATTCAAATTCCAATTCTAATAACGCAGGCGGCGCGAATAGTGCTTCAGCACAACCAGCACCGAGGCCATGCCCAAAGTGCCGTCTCGGCTATATTACCCGCGGTCAGGCACGGTTTAGAGAGGTGAGTGAAGCTAAGACCACTGTAGATACCGTCCTGATGAATCCATTTCTCAAAATTGTCACATTGCAAGCAAACATGGAAATAAAGCAGATAGTAGGTTAAAAATAGATGAAAACCGAAAAAAGTGGGAATTCACAAATATATACTGCTAGCTGGACTTAGTGCAAAGAAACTAATAACTCAGTTTGCTTCCTTTCCTTTGGTTTTTAATTGCTTGCATGGTTTACGTAAGAAACTCAACAACTAACTACGTGCCTGCGGTGGTCTTTCCATAGATAGCAAATGCAACAAAATATTTTTATTAAGAGGAAACGCCTGACATATATTACTGCTTTAGCGGCAATGATATACTCACCAACCGTTCATGGCACCTTCTGGACTGGGTACACTCACGGACAGATTGTCGAGGCTTTTTCGTGCAAACATTTAGCCTATTTCCGACGAGCGACCTCTCATCGCCTCTTGTGCACTTTTCATTTCTCTTGATTGTAAATTTTTAGCTAAATCGTCATTCTGGTCACATGCCATGCACACGCGACCATATATCCAAGAAACCCATTCTGGAAGCTTGAAAACCGCCGCATCCGTTGAGTCTTCATGTGTTTCAAAGCAAGCAGATTTTCGCTTTTGCCCACCTTAAGCTTTTATCTGCCACTTGGAGATCCGCTGTCCGGCTTTTCTGTTAATCGGCCGAAGATCTCGTAAGAACGAAATAAAAGATGTAGGTGTAACCTTTTTCTCAACCACTATATCAAGAATTTTTGCAATTAATTGGACGTCCTTCTAAGTTAGCAATTTATGGAACTTTTCTTCTTCGGAAAATCATGGGTTCATTTCAATAATCAGAATTGTTTTCAAAGTATGGATGGTACGAGTGAAGCTTTGAAATATTATTAAATTGGTGAACTGATACAATTCGTTGTAAGTGGAATTTGAAAGCGTAGATACAAGCGATTGGTTACAATCTGAAAGGATTTAAGACTTGTTCCTCAAAAGGAAGTCATCACGGTCTCCTTCGCGAACCATTTCTTAAAGGATTTTAAAAATACCTGCACATCAGTTTTCTTGCCCTACATTTCTATATATATATTTATATGAATATGTAAATATATATATTCATGAATCTCACTGAGAAATCATCAAACGGTTTCTCACGAAAGTACATTTTTGTCCACATTCTAAGGTCGAAAAAATCGACACTTCCACATAATATAGTGAAATGGCGGCAAGATTAAGACTGACAAACCCAGTCAGCTCTATCACAACGTACTTGCTAACATCGTGGCGACAAAAGAACTCAAGACTATATCATATTACCATGAGATATTTGCGTGGAAGAAATAGTACAGAAAAATCGTAGTGGCTACACCTTGGCTTTTTTCAGATGTGTATCAAGGCGCTGGCCTATGGCACCATATGCTGCACTTGTCTTATTCCTCTTCGTCTTCTCAAGACCAACTATGTAGACAAGTGCTCCTACTGTGGTGAGGAGTACGGTTTCCGTGGTGAACTTTTCGAGAAACCGAAACCAGTGAAAATCTGAAGGTGGAACACTTCCTGAAAGAGGAAACTCCCTGACAGAGCGACTGTACCAATGTTTACGCTTAGGATTACTGTTCTTTTTTCGTCGAACTTTTTTCCATTGACAATACATTGTAGCATTTTAATCAAAACAGTAGATCATATTGCTCTGTTTTAATTAAGTTAACTCTGAGTAACAACTCTTTCCAAACTTTGATTTTTTCTTGTAAATATTAATGGTCATACAGCTTTCTTTGCCCACTTCATACAGCTTTCGATGATCTCCATGTAAATAATAAATGTTGGCACCACATTTCTTACTTAATACCATGCGAATTTCTAATATGACCAGTCTTCGCATATGATGCGGATCCCCTCATTCTTTTCGTTCAGTACCTTGTCTTCCACGAAGTCCTTCTCGTTTTCGCGTATCGGTCCGAGTACTACTTGACGTTTCTATTATCCGTAAGGGTGTCAGTAACTATAGGTGGCTGAAACTCTCCCCAGAATCCAAAGATAATTTTGCTGTAGCATTTTCAGCCTTTAACTGGTGCAGCAAGGATAAATGGATGATTTATGATGTGTCTGACACTTGGGCTTTATACTTTTCTTCTAGTTATTCCAGATCTCAAATTCAGGCAAGTCTTTGCCTAGGTAATATTAACACAATTAAAAAAAACGTGTCGAGATATTTTCATTGAATTGAATGAATTGACTGAAACGATGTGTGCATGAAATACAAACGAGGATAATACTGCTTTTGTAAGAGGAGAACTCAACAACCGAACCTTACTACATGAACTAAGGGAACAGGATTTATGGGAAGATTACAACAGCAATACGCACCTATGTGAGTGGACAAATGAGTAATGATGTTACTTATATTTCTTGTAAGGTGGTTGAGTCTTGAGACACCCTCGGAATTGTACGTAATAAAGTTGGGGCAGACATGGTTCTATACAGGCTAGGAGGCACACCGGAAACAATTTCGTTACATATTTGATGTGAGCGAAGTATACAGAACAATAGAAAACTAATACTGAGATTCTATGAATGCACGGAAAGATTGAGAGTATTCGCTACATTGTTAGATAATGTCCCGTCCAATCCCATCGGAATGAGTTTATGGGTTTGAGACTTAGTAGACCCACGAGTTAAGGAATGGGTGTGTTTCAGTATATGAACGTCACGGTGCGATATAATAACTCATACAAAAAACTAATAAAGTAGGACTCCGCTTATCTATCTATAGTTGTCATATTTATCTACAAGATATCTTATGGCCAATTTGCCGTCGCTCCGCCCTCTTTAGGTTAATTATGGGGTCGAAGTTCTTTGAGTTATTTCATTGTTGTGGGTATACCCGCTCAAATAATATGATTGCTTTGCGCCGTCGATACCAAGGAAGTGCGTTTAGCAAACGGATTTAAGTTGGAAGGATCCTTCCTAACTTGACTTCGATTATGCCACAGGTGGATGTGACTCTGCCTCCGACAGGAGATATGCAGCAGTGTTGCTGCCTTGTTTTTTTCTTTTTCTTTTCCTTCTTTTCTTTGTTTTTATGTCGGCATTTAAGGACAAAATACGATTATTCTGGATATGACATTGTTCACTTCTACAAGGAATATTGATTTCAACACCGTTCACGTCTCCTGCGAAATTCTTGCACCCCAGTTGATCAAATCTGTTTGTTTCCTTTCTTCCCAGCTGCGCAAATTCTCCTGTTCCAACTGATCCTAAAGCACATGACATCCGCCACTTATGGTTATTGTCGCCCAGCCTGGATTGCAAGACGGACGTCGTGTCTGCTTGACTTTTTAGTGCCTGATATCCAGTATATTTGTTAACTTCTTCTTTCTCTGATGTTACCTGTGCTGAGTTTTTGCTCGTTTCAGTAATGCCATGACTCAGGCGTGCTAGCAAGTTTTGTTTCGCTATATTTTTGTTAGTCTTTCTCTTGTGGACCACTTTATACCTTGAAATGCATGGAGAATTTAAGCCTTTCGATTTTGGGAAGCAGCACGATGTGTGATGCCTCCACTGACACTTATAGCATGACCTTTCTCCAGATTTTGACGAGCTATGATGTGGAAATGAACAAACTAAGCATAATTCATCGTTTTGAAGGCACTGGAAGCGTTCCTGTGGCCTCTGATGTTTTTTGCAATCAACTGACTTCTGACTTCCTTTGCAATACATGCAAAAAGGTATTATTTGGAAGCCAGATTGGTTTGTTCCCTTACCTAAATTGCTATTGTTTGTTGGTGACGGCTCACGCCTAGCATAATGTACTAGCATTCCTTCATTGGGAATAACTTCCTCGAGAAACTGTAGGAGTGCTTGCATTCGGAAGTGGCTGTTCGCCACAACGTTCTGTTTCTTCGCAAGTACTTTGCGTTGTGTGTCATGAGGAAACTTCAACAAAAATTGTTCGACCAGCCGCTGAGTACCCAAGTTCTTCCCTTTTTGATTTGGCCGTTCAGTTATTGTCACCAGTTGTTCAAGTTGCTTCCGCTTGTCAGACATTGTAGTAGAACGAAGAGAGCAATTCTCGAGCTTTTCAGTAAGACGGAATATAAGCTCTTCGGCATTCCCATACTTTTTCCGTAGAAAGTCGACCACTTTTTGATAATTCTCTCTAGTTATTTGAAACATCTTTATTGATTCAAGAGCTTCGCCTTTAAGAGCACAAAGAAGATAATTAAGCTTGTATATCTCGGGTAGTGGTTGCGAATGTACATTCGAACTGAAAAATTCCCAAAAAGTGTCCCATTCGTCTATGTCGCCGCTGAATATCGGAATGGGTAATGTGGGTAGGTGTTCCACCGCAGAATTTGCCATCAACGCTTTATTGGGTTTGCTTTCATCCGATTCCCTTGGGTTGCTTTGTGAGTCCCGGAGGGACTTAAAGGAATCTATGTGCACTTGTAGAAGTAGCATGTAGTCAGAGGCAATACTTATTAATCTGATTACTTCACGCAAATGCTCGTCAAATTCCTCAGCCATCTTTAGTGAAGGTTGAGCTAGCCTGCCTAATTCTTTAGAGTACACTTTCAGCTGCTGTTTGGTTCCAATGGTAGCTTTCTCAATAGAATTTACCACGTCTTCCCAGCGCTGGAAACAGTTGTTGGTACCATAAGTTGAAAAAGTATTTTCCTCGTCGGACTTTGGGTCGATGGATTCCAGGCCGTCATTTTTTAAACCCAATGCCAATGTTTCTAGTTGGTTGTAATAATCACTGAGAAGTCGCTTAAGAGTAGCAAGAGTATGGGACATTACGTGTGAGAGCTACTGAAAGATTGAAATTTGTCGAAACCTTACTATGTTGGCACGAGGTTGAGGCGAAGCTGAGCCATAAAGTTGAGCTGCTACGAAGTGAGGCGAATTGCTGTGAAATCACCTGTGAAGTCGATGGGTAGCTTCGGGCGAACGATTCACCACGTAGAAAAGGTACTGGACGAAATATGCTGTTGCCGTAGGCACACAAAGAGTGTAGTTGCGTTGCAGTTATACCAGACCTAAAACCGAGGTAATCACGCCTCACTACATACAGTTCTACTACAACAATAACAATATAACGAGAGCAACGCTAATCTTCTGCGATGAACCTGGTTTTTAGATGATTAACGGAAACGTTTCGATTAATAGAGTATTTTAGAAGTTCAGAACTATAAAGATTTACGCAGGAGACTTTACCCTATAGCACTAACCCCACATATAACGTCGTTTCATACTTGAGAGGTGGTTAGTGATACAGTCCATCAAGAAGCAAAGTGCTGCTTCTACCCACTCTTTAACGCTCTCCTCCGATCCACTGGGAGCGCCTTAGCTCGGCTATCTCCAAGATTGCAAATGGAGCCGACTCGACCGGCATTCTACGACATTCATTACGAAGGCGAAACCTTCAAAAAACCATCGAACGCACGTACAAAATGTTCGAAGACCTTTGTGGACGATGAATGTGAGGAAAACGAATCGAATGCAAGAATTGCTAGGAACCGCCCAATAGATGTGATGACTGGCCATGCAATAAGTAAATAATAAATAATTATACAAATACTGTCTATTTCTAAACAGCACAGTAATTAAAGCCTATTTTATAAGATAAAAGAAGGAAGGAGATGAAGATATTGTAAACAAGCGGATGGCGAGATGGCGAGACTCGGCAATCTTACCCTGCTCAGTGGTTATGGATAGGTATGTATCTAGGGCAAGTACGTCGATTTGCTGCCAAGTAATGATAAATGGCTGTTTTTCTTCCAGAAGCATACAGGAGGTTGATACTATAGAATTTGCTAGCATACAATAGCTGACATTTCGGCGGTTTCGTCATGTTCAGAGTTTGGAAAGGCTAAATTGGCATGCAATCTACCTAGCCAAACACTTTCATAGACCAAGTAGATAAGACTCAACACATAAATTTGCATTCGCACATGAAAAAGCACTAGCTGAAAGACACGCGAAACGAAGGACCCGCATGGTGTGGTGGTGAACGCGTTACCCTCGGAAAGGACAACAGCGCGTTCGTTGTCCACCAGAGACATCCGTGGCCCGGAGTTTTGCAAATATCTCAGCATTATATAAGAAACAGCTTTATTTAAACACCTACCGTTTATTTGTTGTAAGTATTTAAATTAGTTGATGGATAGCAGCCGCACAGATTAATATATGGGCGAGGTCTCTGTCTGTGTCAGGCCATTGGATTAGCCTGAGGTATGGAGCTAGGTCACACCTGATGACAAGACACTCCTCTTTGCGGTTCATTTCTGAATTTTTGGAATTGATACAAAACGCTTCAAGAGTTTGACGCGCTGATGTCTTGGACTCCTGTGCAAGGATAGTGACACCTACTTCAAAATCTCCGTTGTCTTCCTGCATCCTATGCGCGCCTAGTGAAGTGGTTGGTTTCAATTTATATTTACCGACTAAGTGTTCTTTTAAGTGGACGCAGAGCGGTCTACCCGTTTCGCCAACGTATTCGCCCCCATACACTTTGTAAGAGATTAAGTACGCTGTACCCAAACTCATGCAATCACCGTCTCCACCGTTAGGGTAAACAGCACATTTTTCGTTGCACACAGACGGTCATATAGGCGGTTAGAAACCAGCTTGATGGAGCTTGTGGTGGTATTTCCATCACTTGACATCCCCCACCCATGTGTTACTCTGTGCGACCGCTCTCCACATATTCATTGGAATACTTACCACGAATAAAACGACTCTGAAGATGGCGAAACCGCGGAAACGTCGGCTATTGTATGCTAAAGATTCTATAATATCAACCCAGTGCTTACTCATCGAAGAGAACAGTGAATATGAATGTGTCGTTTTCTTGTTCAGCAATCGCGAGGTTTTTAAACAGCATACATTTACTTCCATAAAAACACAAT